CGGCAGCACTTTTTTGTTCTTTCGCAAGATGTTGCTTACGTGTAGATATTTGGTATATAATATCGAAGTGCTAATACACTTTTGATACTGACGCTTTATAAAACACTTTTCCTTAAAGGAATTGTCTCCCCAAAACGCACAAGACAATAAAAATAATTTTCCCAAATTTGTTGCTTGAAAATAATTTGTACCGAAGCAATTCGAAGACTCCATCTGAGGGTTATTTACCTTTATCATGTTTATGTTTTTGATATAAGTAATATGTACTTGTAACTAGTTAACCATAAGTGATAGAGATCTAGTGTTTTTTTATTTGAGGTCTTCGGTCCAACAAATTGAAAATGAGATCAAAGGTCAAAGTCTTGTTAGAATATTTTACTTTTGCTTGTTCTTGCTAATCCCGTTATTTATATCGACAAACAAAAGGTTTTCTATGAGTTGAGACATGCCTTAATAGGTTTTTTGTACAGAGGGATAAAGTTACATTTAACAGGAGTTTTCTCCCTTGGAATGTTCAAAACTAGAAGTTTCACAATATATTTCATTTACAATACATAGTTAAGACCTAAAGTCTGTCCACCTCAACTGGTCGACTTTTCTTATTTTCATACGAGTCTGAGTTCCTTTAAACACTTGTAAAAAACAAGATCAAAGCGAGATCATTTAATTTCACAAATAGGTATATTGTTGATGTTCTTTCCATAAACAATCCAAACTTTTCGGAATGGGTCCCATTAATACATACATCCTTCTGCAAAAGAGATAAAAAAAAACCACAGAAACATCTCATCTGCCTCATTTACCTCAAATTTGACTACAGCGGTCTTCTCAGTACCAAAATCTATGACAATAGAGACGATTTCAATTTTAACATTATAAATTGTCCTCGCCTTAGCAGCAATTTACCAACTTCAAACTCGTATGGAGTATATATTTCTCAACTCATTTGATATTCAAGAACTTGCAGCTGCTACAAAGACTTTGTAAAACGTCATCGGTGTCTGAGCAAAAATTAATAGTCCCAGGTTTTGTCAAAAAATGTCTCGCAGAAAGTGTCTACTTCATAAATTATACAAGAGGGTCTTGACTGTACAGCAGGTTCTAAAGAGTTTATCTTTTTATCTGTTTTACAATTTTCCCTTTTTATGCTTATGTGTTCCTTTTTGGTTCTGTTTTGTCCATCCAGTTATCGGATTTTTGGCTTTGGACGATTCTTTTGTAGTTTTGGTCTAGAGGTGCGATTTGGACCCAGTATGTTTTTACAATGTTTTTTTTTCATTTTGTAAACCCTTGGATAAATACTGTACCGCATTTTATGTTTTTTTTTATCATAGCGTATTTGTCAGCTACAATGACTTTTTTGTTAGTTAGTTGTGTTGTATATCTGTGATAATTGCTTACACCGTTTGGCTGTTGGGTCCCGATTATTGTCATATTAACATATTGCGTCTGTTAGGTTGCATATCCAACAAAACAAAACAGTTTTGTTAACATAATGGAACTAGAGACAACTGTCATAAAAGTTGGGGGTTTACCTAGCTACCTAGCTATAAACGTATAAGCAAATAAAGTGTAAGAAATAACGTTAGACCCACCAATTCGGAAAATGCCTGTACCAAGTTAGTAATATGAAAGTTGTTACAATTCGTTCTGTTGGTTGATAGTCTGACGTTTGATTTTGTCATGTTTCTTGGACTTCCCCCTTTTTGAATTTACCTTCGAGTTAGGTATTTTGTGTACATTTTTTATATGAGATAATTTCTTTGTGATCATGAAAATGAGGTCAAGGTTTAAGGTAAATTGGACGTTTTAGATTCGAACCTTTGCTATAACTTGATATTAAAACATGATAAAGACATTGGGTCCTTTGCATTAGGTTGGAAGACATATGACCTTGAAAGGTCAGCTACCAGACTGACTTTCTGTTAACAGGAAAAGCTATTTTTTAGCATTTTTGATGTAAAAGAAATTAGCAACCATATAATTTTGGAATCAATATGAAGTTACTTATTATATCAAACCAGACGTTGTAATTTCCAACCGGAAATAGCAAATTGGCTCCCATATTTCAATCAAAATATATAGAAACCATATATTTTAAGAATCAATGTAAATGTTGCTGTCAGTCTGCACCGGAAATTTTTTTGAGTAAATTGAAAGTCGCTTATTATCTACTTTAATTCATTAAAGAAGGATAAAAGATATGTATTTTTGATTTCTGTGAAAGATAAGCTATATCCTCAATGCTCTTCAACTTCGTTCTTTATTTGTCCTTTTTAAGTGTTTAATTCGAGCGTCACTGCTGAGTCTTTTGTATGCAAAACACGCGTCTGAAAAAATGTCAGTACCAATGTAACATAATAACACGTATTTTGCGAAATGCTATAGACAAAACTAATATAAATAAAGGCGACAGTAGTATACCGGTGTTCAAAAGTCACAAATCGATTGAGAGAAAACAAATCTGGGTTACAAACCAAAACCAAGGGAAAAACATCAATTATCAGAGGAAAACAAAGGAACACCAGGAACACCGAAGTGCAACAAAAACAAACGCCAACACACATAGAAACGAACAATTTGATAACAACTGCTATATTCCTGACTTGGTACAGGACATTTTAAGAAAACATGGTGAGTTGAACCTGGTTTCATGGCATGCCAAACCTCAAGCTTTATAACAATGTTAAAAAATATCGCTAAAACACTACAGGACAGAGAAAAGCACAAACAAATAATATAATAGTCGACACAACATGCAAACCACAGAACAACAACGAATAATAAACCACTATTTACTATTGTAAAGCATACCTATGGATTATTCTGATTTTAGTATATGTTATAAATGACAGTTATCAGCTTGATAATTCAGACAGTGATGTTAGAATGGTGTTTAAAAAGTACAATTGTATTTCATTTTCCCGCTGTTCACTTGTCCATACATTTAACTGTACATAGTAAACATCCTTTTCATATCAGAAACTAGAGAGTGTTTGGATATGGGTAAGAGTTGGAACTAGAAGTTATATCTTGAGTTCCGGTGTAAATTGTGTATCTTGTTTAACTCTATTCGTTCCATCAAACAACATATTAGAACCAAAATTGATTGTTATGTTAATTGGAAGACCATTTAAATATTATGTGTTTTTGTGTGTCGTTATCAATATCAATGCCGTTCAGTGGTCAGTTTTTATGGAAATCATTGAGATCTACAGAAGGATTTAACAGATATTATTGAAGTTTATTGTTGCACGATCTGTAAAATTAATTTAATGTTTCTACATTAAATAAAACGGAAGTAAGTGTTACAGTATAATCTGGATATACAGATTTACACGTAAGTCGTCTATGGGCTTCAAAATAACAGAGTGCGAAACTAGTAGATAAAAAGATAATAGCTCATAATAAATTCCTAAACAATCAGCTTGCCTTTGAATTTTTATTCCCAAGTAAACTAGAGATTATTCGTGTTCTTTATTCAAAATCTTGAAAATCAACAGTCGCTGATAAGCAACCGCAAACGTTGTCTCTCTCTCTCTCTCTCTCTCTCTCTCTCTCTCTCTCTCTCTCTCTGGTATTATCAATATGAAGAAAATCGATGTTACACTATAAGGTCAACATCCAACAAATTACATAAAAACAAATATCAAATAAAAACAAACAGAATGATTTTGGTGTAGATATATAATAAATAAACTGACATATAACATGTAAAACAATTACTGACAATTACGGCTATCCGAGAAGGTTTCCAATATCTGATGCCCTAAAATGAATAAATAAAAATTTGAAAAAATCAAAAGTATATAAATGTATTTCATATGTGGGGGATTTTTTAGTGATAAATAGCTGGCACATGAACAATGAGGCGTTTGAATGAAAGTTAAAGGCTTGTAAATCAGTGGTTGTCTTTTGTTGTTTTTATATTGTATTCATTTTTGTTTATGAGGCCGTTAGTGTACCTGTTTGAAGTTTTTTGTCATTGTAGTATCTTTTATACCTTGCTTAACTGAATGGGTTTTGCTCATTGTTGAAGGCCTTTTGGTGAAAAATAGCTGCTAATTAATTTCGTCTCCAGTGGAAAATTGCCTCATTTGCAATCATACCACTTCTGCTTATTCTCATATAAATCGTAAGATTAAAGTCGCCTTGTTTTTAAAAGTTTATGGATGCGACAACATGGGGTTGACCATTAAGCAAGTAAGTAAGTGATTATTTATTAAAGTGACTTGTGTCAATTGACATTATGATAATATATACATATAAACCCGACCCAATGTGTCTATAAGTCACCTAAAAATTAAAGTTCATATTCGATTTGTGTCATGGATTTGATAAAAAGTCTCAATAATAGATTTATCTAACCAGAAAATAGAATAACCACTATGTCGTTACAGTAAACTCCAAATATCCCACGAATGATCCAGGTTGGGATTATGTCTTTTGTAGACGAAAAGAGCGTCTAACGTACCAAATTGTAATCCTGGTATATATGATAAATTTATTTAGATGGACACTTGTTCATTTCATAATGATAATTTAAGGACGGGTTTGTTAATCACCAAAACATATTTGCATTCTTATTGATAGGCGCTTTCTAATCGTACGATTTTACGCATTAAAAATACTGTGTATGCTACCATATTTTTGTCGGAACGAAATACCCAGACCGATGAATACTAATAGACAGAGAGGACATTTTGAATCTTAAAATCTACAATATATGATAATTACTCGGTAGTTCAAGCCAACATTAAAAAACAGAGGAAAACAAACAGTTAATCATTTGTTTTTAATTAAGCAGTTGTAAAAAATCCAGAAAATAAGTGTTCAGCTTATTTGATTTCTTTTGAATGGTTCTTAAACCATTTCACAGATGTAGGTTGGACCTGTACAAGATCTATCTGTCCAAGTATAGTTGAAGCCGTTAAAAGAATCAAGTCGCATATCACAGTGTAACATGTATTGCGTTTATATTGATTCCTTTGCAATAATACTTACACCATTTCACAAATGTAGGTGGTCGGAACTGTACAAGGACCATCTGTCCAAGAATAATTGAAGCCTATAACTGGATCAACTCGCATAGCTACACAGTTTTCGTTTCCCCCTCTGTTGTTTGGCTGGGTAGGTCCCCAGTTAAAGTATGTTGCCTGCTTACCGTTGGCTACCCAGTGAAATGTCCCTTCAGTTACAAGGTCATTTAATCCTATGTACATTCCAATGGAATCTGATAAAACAAAAAAAAATGGTTGTGAATTTCTAAACAAATTCATATAAAATTAACATGCAGAATTCTATCCATCAAATATACATTTTCAATGTTGAATTGTAAAGTTTTTGTTTGTATTTATTCGGCTAATAAATGAACAGCATAATATAAAAATTATAGTAGAATTGATTGCTTTCAGTCTAACCGGAATTTTCATTTCTGCATAAGTTTTCTATGAATTCTTATTTCTTATTTTTATACTTTTTACAAATTAAACTGCCATTTGTAATGGTTTTATTGCAGTTTTCTAATCGCAGTTAACTGAATATCTTGTACGATGAATCATAGAACTTCTTCATAACGACTAGGTTAAAGTATTCGGCTTGTTTTTAGATGCAAACAATGAGGTCAACAAACTTTTAAAAAGTAAATTCTTAACAACTAAGACTCAGTAAATCAGTTTAAGAAAGGAAAGAACCTCAATGATAAGGAAGTAAACAAAAGCCATATTTTTATTCCGACAAAATGCAGAAAAGCTCCTATGCATACGAAACTTTGATATTCATATATTAAATCATTTACTAACTTAAAGACCATAAAAAACAAAACTATAGCCACTAAGACAGCCAAGCTTAATAGTACTTTAAACAAGTCGCTTCATATTCTTTTCCAGGTTCAGGAAGATAGAGGAGAAAAGTTGTGCTTCATCATTTATGTACAATCTAACATTTACTCATTCTTACTTATTTTGATCATTAAATCTGTAAGAAATTGTTGCGTTTTTGCATCATCAACGGTAGCTAATGATGCCGATCTTCCATATTGGCGTCCAATCACTTCACACAGTTTCTGAGAAAAGATAGAAAAATAATACATTCAAATTACATAACGAGTATTTATTGATCATGTTGATATTATACGATTAACAGCTTTCACAGTGAAACAAACCGATATTCTTACATTACCAAGTGCTTTGATATAACCATGATAAAACATACTACATTGTGTAGATGTATTTCCCGCTCCTAATATTACGTCATTGTTCTTATTCTAAGGTTGCAGTCCCTTGCGCTTGTTATTTGTGAATTCAAAATTATTGATTTCATATACAAGATCATGTGATGTTAAAAAAGTGGCAACATTAGTTTACCGATGTTCACATCTCATAAATTTACTAATAAGATACAAAACAAGGTAAAAAAAAACAGAGCAAAAAAAAAAAAAACCTGAGCGATTCACAGATTCACAGTAACTCTAAAAGAAGCCAGACTGGATGTGTCTAAAGGGTTAGTAACTTCTGCTTTGCATACATCATTCATCATTGGAATCCACACTCATTCAAAATCGAGAATAGGACATATTCTATATCAAAGTAAGACAATCGAAATCATAATTTGAAGACAAATTTATAAACATTTAATTTCGGAACCCTCACTCCGCTCTTTTCATTTTAACTCACCAGTGAATCGGCAAATGTCTCGTTGTCACGGCTTAGAAAGAAACATTTGTCTTCATAATGACTCCAATTATTTGGACATGCACAAAATACTAAAATAAAAAAAAATGATTTATTTGTATGTATCCTTTCATAAAAAGTATGAATGTTGAAATGTGTCTAATTTTTATAAACAAATGATACACAAAGAGTAACCATGTTCAAGGCAGGCAATCAAAATCAAAAGTCAAAGAAGAATAATATAAATTACATTTTGAGTGATAACATTTATTTCGACTTTTGGTTTTATTTGCTTCACGAAGAAAAACTGTTTCATAAGGATTTCATTATTTGATATAAAAAAAAAGCACATGATGTTCTTTGATTCAATAAAAAATAAATTAAAAAAAATCCGCACTCAGAGGCAAATTCAAAACGTAACATCCCTTAACAAATGGCAAAATCAAAAGCTCAAACACATCAAACGAATGGAAAACAACTGTCATATTCCTGATTTGGTACACGCATTTCATTATGTAGACAATGTTGGATTAAACCAGGTTTAATAGCTAGCTAAACCTCTCACGTGTATAACAGTCGGGTAAAATTCCATTATATTGACAACTATGTGTTAGCAAAACAAACAGACACAATAGGTAAAAGTGTCAAAAATTGAGGAACAGCAGTCAACTTGTGTTATTAACTTAATCAATATAAAAACAAACAACTATGTCAACAATTAAAAATAAATTGACATGTAGACACTCTATAGACAAAGCACATAAGTAAATACGAAAGACAAACATACAAAAGATGACCGTAGCACAATAACACAATGGCGAGATGTACAAATACCGAGTCACGCCAAAAGGATATTACCAAAAATAGACTAATCAAATTGAGGCCTTTGATAGCTTGCTGTTCGGTATGAGCCAAGGCTCCGTGTTGAAGGCCGTACTTTGACCTATAATTGTTTACTTTTTTTACATTGTGACTTAGATGGAGAGTTGTTTCATTGGCACTCATACCACATCTTCTTATTTATATAAATTATATATCCCATTTTTTGACATAAGGTTAAAAATGTAAATAAACAAATACGAAAAACACTTTAACATGTAATTAAGATGATAAACAACGTCAGTACCTAGAATATATCCTTCAAGACCATCAAGTATTCTTTGTGAAGTTGAAACTGAATATTTATCAACAAGATTTTGGTATTTTCCAATGAACTTTTATAGAAAAGGAAAAGGGTCTTTGGCATAACTGTGGTTCATCAACTTTCTGCTCAGACACTGGTGGCGTTTTATAATGTCTGAGGTTGCTATCCTTTAAGTTTATTATTATTCACAAAGTTACTGATAGGAATATTCCAAAAAAAAATGAAAAAGCTTGATTTCACTCTTAATCATGTTAATGCAATGGATAATTTGATAACATCTAGTGTTTATGCACTAAATGCTGTTACATTTATCGATTCTATGCATTGTTAATTTTTTCTTTTTGGACTTATGGTAATTTTTGGAACTAGGTTTGTCTATGTTATAAATCAAATATGTTAATTTGAAGTTGTGTAAAATTGTTGAGCATAAATTTGACAGCTACCCTAAGCCTAACCTTAAGGTATAGAACCACTAATTCAGGCCCGGTTGGAAAGAACATACTAGAAAGTAGTACATATTGTAAACAAAATAGTTCCTACGCATAGCTGTATCTTTGTCAATAGTTGGAATATTTGGGTAGTTTTAGTATCAAATGAAAGCTTGGGGACTTGGGATCACTGTAGAACCCTTATTGAAAGTTTTATTTGAATAATAAAGAAGTATATGAAATTTTAATAGGAGGGCTCATTTGGCCTGTTGTTCAGATCAGAAGTTCCTGTTTTTGTACTATCAAACTTCCGGGAACCAGTACGCTCTAATATGCAATTAAAGGTATGTTGATTTTTTCAGCACAAGTCAGGATAAGGTACAGTTTTGACATGAAATAACTGCCACTTTATTTGAACTTAAGACAAAGTAGCCATTAATGCTTGAATTTGCAGAATTTAACATAGAAAGCAATGGGGCTATGAATTAGTGGTTTTATACCTATTACTGACAGGCATGTGAAATTCTATTTTTAGAAATCATACCCTTTACAGTAAAAATTGGTCACATTTGTTGTCAGAAATCATGTTACATTATTTTTTTTATGTAACAATTATGTTAGTGTCAAGTTACAACCCTCAAATTGCTAAACTAAGGTATTTTAGCCTTTTTTGGTCATTTAGCATGCACACAGTTAAGATTTTACCCGAAATTTTAATTTTTGGATTATCTAACACTGAAACCAATGAGACTTGTATATCATGACTAGTTTACAGTATAAATATTGTTTTTGGTCAAATTATCTAGTGAGTGTTCATGTTTTATTGTGTTTCTTAGTGAATTACTTATTTCAAGGAAAATTGGTGTATACTTATGTAGGAAATCCAAAATCTCACTTGAAATGCATTTTATAACCATTTTAGCAAGTTGTCTAGCTTGGAGATACATAAATTGCTCTTGTTGATCCATGTTTATACATAAAAGTATGGTTTTTTACCAAATCACTCTCCTTTTCCAACATGTAGAAAAAAGGGGGGACAAAATTATCAATTATATTTTATGTTTGGACCACTGTATTTATATTGAAGGAAGAATCTCTGATAAAAATAAACATATAGGTAAGAACACTGTTATTTGAGTAGATATTAACAAATCAGAGCTGGGAAAAATTGAAAAAGTGTTATATCTGTCACTATTAGTATCCATAAGTAGTTTTCTTTGTTTAACGCATATGCTACTACCAGTCCAATTTGAGCTCGAATTCAGTGATATAGTGTTTTGACAAAAGCTTGATGTGTTTTTCTATGCTAGAAATAGATCATAGAAGGAAATTAAGTCAAGCAGAAGTCAATATAACAAGTTTGGTGCTGTTATAGGTATAGAACCACTAATTCAGGCCCGGTTGGAAAGAACATACTAGAAAGTAGTACATATTGTAAACAAAATAGTTCCTACGCATAGCTGTATCTTTGTCAATAGTTGGAATATTTGGGTAGTTTTAGTATCAAATGAAAGCTTGGGGACTTGGGATCACTGTAGAACCCTTATTGAAAGTTTTATTTGAATAATAAAGAAGTATATGAAATTTTAATAGGAGGGCTCATTTGGCCTGTTGTTCAGATCAGAAGTTCCTGTTTTTGTACTATCAAACTTCCGGGAACCAGTACGCTCTAATATGCAATTAAAGGTATGTTGATTTTTTCAGCACAAGTCAGGATAAGGTACAGTTTTGACATGAAATAACTGCCACTTTATTTGAACTTAAGACAAAGTAGCCATTAATGCTTGAATTTGCAGAATTTAACATAGAAAGCAATGGGGCTATGAATTAGTGGTTTTATACCTTAACCCTAACGCTAACTCTAATGTCCTTTGATTAAAACTAAATGAAGAATCATTTAATTATGAATTACAGATTTAATCTTCAAGAGTAAATTCATTAAATGATAATGAAAAAGTTACTTACCAACTGTGGCTACAAATGCCAGAATACAAAGTTTCATCAGAACAGAAGACATTTTGATATATGAGGCAGCAGTTTAAACATTGCATGTTGCATTTCTGGAGGCGATATTTATATTCGTAAGTTATCTCAATTTTGAAAAGTTCGTGATGTCAATGAAACTGCAGACAGATTGACATGGGTGTGTAAAATTCGGACCAGAAACCAAGTCAAGGTCTCCTGAAATATTAATAATAAATGTAGAACTTTTATAAGAGTGGTATTCATACAGACCATTTTGATCAAAAGTTCAAATTTTAGAACAAGATTATTTGGAATATAATTTGGAACAATTATCAGGATAAGGATAAAAGCCAAAGTTCGAGACGTCCTATGTAAAGATTTGAAATATAAATAAAAATATTTATCAGTACATGAGGCATTTAAGGAGAATAGTTAGAATGTAAATCGGAACATCTATTATGAGCGCCTCTGGTGAGTCTTATGTAGACGAAACGAGCGTTTTCTGTACAAATTTATAATCCTGATGCGTTTTTAGTACAAGTAAAAAATGTAAACCATTGACAACAATGTAACTGCGCACGATACACATTTCCAGAAAAAGCTTTAACACGTGCTCAATGATGGTAAAATTTTTGAAAGGAAAATACGTAAATTGTTTTTGGGTTGAACACGGGGGTCAAAATGATATTTGGTAAGATCAATTGTGTCAGAGGGAATTGCCTCTTACCATAGAAATCTATCAGATAAAAATTTGAATTACATATGAGAAGATAGGTTATATAATATGTTTTTAGAAAATAAAAAGAAATAAAGGTGTAACGAAACCTGTTTTTATGCAAGTAAAAAATAAAAATTTCATTAAGATTCCTTTATGAATATTTTACTGTAAGAGTAACATGTATCTCCCCTTGTATGGCTGAGTAGAAAAGTTGAGTCCAACAAAAACAAAATTATATTTGTAAAAAACAATCTAATTAATACAATCAATCTCTTACATTTCTTTATCTATATAAACAGTCTTACATATAAATTTGCATTCTTGCTAAAGACATTTGCAGAGTTAAGCAAAGAACTAGATGATTGTGTGCTGCTATCTTACAATTCAAGATGGCGATATACAGTGAAACTAACTTAATTTTTTATTACTTTCACAAAGTAGGACAGTAGAAAAGCTTATCCTTCTACATACGTGTTGTAGACGGTTTTTTGTAGTGTTCGTATTGCTTTATCTTCAGTTCTCTTTGTAGTGTTTTGTTGGCTGTTGTTTATCACCTCGTCTTTTTTCTCTTCGGCATGATGTTTCTAATTTTTTTCGTCGACTAATAATTTCCATTTTTTCAGAGAGAACAAGGTACTACTACTTAGTGACGTGTACTCTATTACCAAAATCAAGACTGTAGTCATTATGTTTAACTCAAGATTGTTTTGTTGTGATAGCCTTCCTGTGTCACTTATATATGCCGTACATCATTATTTAATTATTTATGACATTTAGATGGAACATGGTGGATGGGCACGAAATCCTGTTAAATACCGGGTATCCGCGCCATTATTGCTGTTATCAATAATACCAGTTGCTAGAAAATTAACATCGATGAGTTAAGGTTTGACACATTACATTATTTAGGATAGCACCAAGAGTTGACTTTAGTGGTAGACTCCATTTTGTATATAACTTTTAATATTCAGACGATTTCTTGTATGTGTATAATAACAGCACGTGCTTTTTTTTTTTTGGGGGGGGGGGGGGCTGCATGAACCTATGCTGATGATATTGTTTGTGTGTCTTTCGATGCAAGCAAGACTCACTTCAAATGTGATAAAAGGATTGTCGGTAAGAGGGTACAGCATCTGCCCATCTTCATCGGGCTATATGAGTGCTAAAATTATTATTTTTTAACATATTTAACCAATCAGACGAGGTTGCGTAGAAATAAATCAATCTTATTCCGAAATCGATATCTTTTTGAAACTATTTTAAAAAATGGACAATTCATCAAACTTTAATTTTTTGCCATAAATTACGTTTATGAATGAACTGAATTAAATTTTCTCATTGTAAACTTTACACTTTAATGAAACAACATTTCATCAGAATTTGAATATGGAGTATATAGATGATGACACAATATTCCAGAGTTTTGTTTCGTTTTCACCGAATATCATCAAATATGTTGCATTTGATTTTGGCACAATTTCATCATCCTTTTGGCGTCAATTGCATCATAAATAAATTTAGCAATGACCTTGTACTTTTCATGAGCAGCATGACGGATACTGTTGGTGGTTCCGATACTGTTTATTCTTCCGAGGCACTTGAGTTCATCCTGAGTTTTGTGTTGGGTTAAGTGGTGGATTATGTTACTCTTGCTTTTTTTATATATATATATATTGTGTGTTGCTATATTTTATTATATAACGTCGATGTTGGTTCGATCGATCCTGGACTTTGTCTATTTAAAACAGCTCGTTTCACATTTCTCATGTTTCTTTACATGTACCAATTTTGTATTTGTATTGTCTTATAGATAGATAATAGTCATATATTAATCCGCTAGGGGGGGGGGGGGGGGGGGGGGGGTCAAACTACTAACATTTTGATTGAAAAAAAACTACTGCTTAAGAAAAAATTATAACAAGAAAAACAGATAACGGAGAATAACCTCACACACAGTGATACGAGTTTGATTGCACAGTTCGAGTTTCAAAAGCATAATGACTGTTCGATACTAAATATGTTATCGACATGTTCATTAAAGAGACGACGTTTCTCAAACAACAGTGGCGGAAGGAAACTATAAAAAGAATAAAATCAAAAGGTCTTTACAAAGACAGGTATAACAACCTTTTTGGTTAGTATCATTTTAAATTAAAAACAAATGGCTAGTTTAGATAACAAGTTGCGGAAATTATACATGTATAGTATATTCATTTTATTTATATCCTTTTGTGTATGTTCATTGAATTTTCCTGCTAAGATTAAATATAAGGATAAAATAAGCTAGTTTTAATGGGTATATAAGAAAAATAGGGCACGAACAGTTAAAAGCAATGTTTTTATATGTAGATGAGTATCATTATTTTATTAGTATTTCATTACTATCTTTGTATTGGCAAAATCAGAACTTTCTGATTCCTTATAATACATTTTTAATGGGATAACAAGGATTGTCAAAAATACTGGTAGGTAAAACAAATGACAAAAAATAACGAACATCAAATGGTCCAGTTTAATCCTTATTGGGAACACTGAAACCTAAAAAATTAAAATCCAAGGATTTATAAATTCTTGAACACTTTAGGAACAAGACGACCAAAAGGTTCACTACAATGGACTTTACCCAAAACACTGGAACATTTGAAAAAAAAACAAACGTAAAACAGTATCTCAAAAATACCGAACTCCAATGTAAACTCAAAAAGGATAAAATATTTAATCATTCGATCTAAGAATTTCATTAGTTTGGTTCATCTGACATTCATTAACATGATTTAGTAAAATACAGCATTGTGTGTGGAAAACTTGAGCTAACCTATTCATACAACAGAACTTGTGAAAAAGCACTACATGAGATAGTCCCGAGATTGATTGATACGGTACTCTTTGTTTGTCTAGTTCGAAAAATATGGGTAATCCTTGTTCATCCTTCCACAATTGCACTTGCCATATGATATTTTATAGGACTTCATAATTGCAATCTTGAATTTTCAATCCCAAAATAAAACAAAGAATCTGATAGATTAATACTTTGTTTGTGTTTAACTCCATATTTTGGTGGCCATTGTGTTAGAGGAAGCCAGAAATAACCACCGACTCTCGGTAAGGAAATTAACAATCCTTGTCAATTAAGATCAGCGTCATTTGAATGTGTAAACGGTCTTTCTGTCAGAGTTACTAGAAATTGTGATTATTATAAGCTGTTTGTTTGAATGCATGGAATGATATCAATAATTTTAGATGATAAAGGAGAAAGGTTTTAAAAACGACAAACGCAAAGCGGTTTTACCTCACAGGACACACACTCAACAATGTAAAAGAGTTAATGCTGCTACGTAATAAATATGAGAATTTCAGGTGATATCCAATTTTATTGAATGTTAGTCAATTGCCTCATTACACATCATTTTATTTTTGTAAAGGACTCACAAAGATTAAAATATCTATGTTGGAAAAGTATAAATACAATGTTAGATAGGTAAACGACAAGCCAGCAATGTTTTCTTTTTGAAGACAGAGTTATCAGAGTTATGTAGAGGCTGTATATGAAAATGTGTTTAACTTTTTCCTTTCTCCCGTATGATTCAATTTAGTTTACTTATTACCACAAGGGGCCTCGGTGGTGGAGTGGTCTCAGAAGTTCATCTACTGCATCACTAGCTTGTCAAAACTGAGGTTGCGAGTCCGAACCCCGCACGTGGCATTAGCGTTCGATTCCAATCTCAAATGACTAGGATTGTACATTTTCCTGCCGAAGATCAATGGTTCTATCCGGCCATTCTGGCTATCTCCATCTATGAAAACTAATCGCCTTGATATAGCCAATAGCGTTGAAGTGGAGTTAAACACCAACATATATCAATCAATCAATCTTTTAAAATACTATAAAAAAAAACAAAGAAGACATATTTATATAAAATCTTCCGTTATCTTCTTTCGGCTGATTTTAAGGTTACATTTAACGATGTGTCTGCTCCAATGGTACGGTAAGAGTATGATAATAGCTATTATCTAGACCATGAACTGCACAACTATGAATTTAAAATTATTCAAGCCTATTCAAAATTATTATCATTTTATTGATAAATAAAACAGTTGCTTTGATCTGGTAAGTTTAATCCTGAAAAATCACTTTAGTTGTCACTATGACTTCATACAAGAGTCGAAATTTATTTATTTGACCTACAATGGCCATTTTACGAATAATATATATGAGCAACAGCTTTACCCAAAAGATATTGAACATACATTAACACCTTTGTTAAAAACATTGTAGCAAAATATATTTTTGGATAAAGATCTTGATTATATCTAAATATATGAATAATGGCAAG